TAGCAAAAACTTAACAGTTTAAAACAACACATTTTTATTATCTCTCAGTTTCTGCAAGCAAAGTATCTGGCTATGGCTTAGCTGGTTGGCCTCACAAGGCTGAAATCAAGGTGTGGGCTGGGCTATATTCTCATTGGGAGACTAGGGGGAAAATCTACTTCCAAGCTCCCTCAGCATTAATTTCTTTGTGGCTGTAAAATTCCTGGAGCATTACTGTTCCAAGGCCAGCAACAGAGAAGAAGAGTCTCTGCTGCTTGAGAGTGTCTGAATTCAGGGAAAGCGCAGGACCTCTTTTAAAGGCAAGCCTGATTAGGGAAAACCTACCCGGAATAATCTCCCTTTTGATGAGCTCAAAGTCAACTGATTAGGGACCTTAATTACATCTACAGAAGTCCTTCACCCTTGCTATTTAATGAAGCATAATCGCGGAGCGATATCTCCTCTCCTTTACCACATTCTATTGATTAGAAGAAGCACATCATGGGTTCCATCCAAACCCAACGAGAGGGGATTCTTACAAGGGTGTGATTCATTGGGGGTTACCTTGGTGTTGTCCATACAATCAGGGACCTGGGTCCCCAGTTTTTCTGCTCTATCCTTTTACTAGCTTCCATCCTCAAGTCCCCCTCATGGTCCAAGAAGGTGGTAGAGATCTACCCATCATATCCATCTAACACCCTACAGAAAGGAGGAAAGAAATAGATCAAGAAAGTAGTAGTTGTTGTAGTTGTAGTCCTCCTAACTGGTTCAGCTGCCTGTAAGTTGGCTTTACAGGAGTCCTACATGTTCACTGAAATCTCTTTAGCCTCAGACTCTGGCAATAAGGACACACATCATCTGTAAAAGAGTTATTAAGAAGCAATGAAACAAATTTAAAGTCAGTCTGCTTTTTACTGTCACCATTCACCAGCAATTCTAAGCAATCCAGTGATAGAATACTTCTCCTCAAAAAACATTTGTGGTGGTCTAATTTCTAAACAATTGGTGTGATTATGGTGGAGTTTTAATAATATATGTGGAAGTTTCAAATTAGCACAGTTTTATTACTCATCCTCTAATAACATGGTATTCTACTTGGGAGTTAACTCAAAGAACTCCCCATTCACCTCCCAGCACAGGAGAAACCACCTATTTCAAGAGTATGTTCATAACGGTCTAGAATCTTCCACGTACCCCCCACCCCAGGCACAGTTTGTGCCTCCAGTTCCATTTGGAAGTCATATCCCTACACTGAAACATTAGATTCCAAATAAACTATGACAGTACAGGAAAGACACAGAGATGGAATTGATGAGGTTTTGGGGTGATGGTGGGGACTCCAGAGCCAACAACCAAGAAAGAATTCTTGAAGACGTCTTTGGTGCAAACAGGTGATTTTATTAAAGCCTGGGGACAGGACCCATGGGCATGAAAAGCTGCACTGGGGTTGTGAAGAGTGGCTTATTATATACTACGAAGTTGGGGAGCTAAAGTCAAAAAGGAGGCCGCCAGAGGCGACTTTGATATGCCAAAGAGGATTCCTAAGATACCTGAGACCTTGCTGTTATCAAGCTAAGATTGTTTTTCCTCTAGTAAGTTATTAACATTAGGACGGTATGGCGTTCTTAGAGAAATGCCATACCCTGTATTTGTCAATGGGCTGCAGGTTATGAGGAAATGTAATTTTACCTGCCATTTCCTTCTCGCCCTTGTTCCCCACATCACTATGGAGGGTGATGTTGGGGCTCCAGGAGACTGAGTCTACAGTTTACTGGAGATTAGACTATTGACAAGAAAAGATTGCCTTTTCTTGCAGTTTACTGATATTTGTAAACTGATGGAGACCCAAGTCCTGTATGGCTGATCTCTCAGTTGGCCACTTGTTTTCCTCTTTTCCTTTGCCCTTGGGCAGCCAGGAGTGCCTGAGGAATATCACACATATGCCACCTGCTGGGGGTGAGGGGAGGGGTGATAGCTTGCACTTTGTCTTCAGTCCTGCCATCCTCCCTCAACAGAATTGCCTCAATCCTTTCATTCTTTGTAACCACTTAGAGTTGTTAGGTTGTGTTTAAATTTAAAACAACAAAAGAGAGGGGCACCTGAGTGGCTCAGTCAGTTGAGCATCCGAATCTCATCTCGAGGCTTGTGAGTTTGGCTCACCTTGGGTTCAGTGCTGACAGTTTAGAGCCTGGAGCCTGCTTTGGATTCTGTGTCTCCCTCCCTCTCTGCCCCTGCCCCCCACTCATGCTCTGTCTGTCTCTCAAAATAAATAAATGTTAAAAAAAAATTTTTAAAAAACAACCAAAGAGAGAGCAAACTGTGAGGAGTATTTTTGATTTTTTTGGTAACTGCGAATTCTAACTTATACATGAAATATTTCATTTTGTGATGATTTAAAATTTTTAAATATTGTCTTCTTTTTTTAAAGTAGGCTCTATGCCCAACGTGAAGCGACCTCATGACCTTGAGATCAAGAGTCACGTGCTCCGCCGACTGAGCCAGCCAAGTGCCCCTTTCTTCTTGTTCAATTGTTAGTTATTTCTCAACTAATGAACAAATTCAGAAAATGAGACATCACATCAATGGTCAATTTAATAGGTGCCTAATTTTTGCAGACATTTTAGTTTTATTAAATTTTAACTTTGGGATTCCTGGGTGGCTCAGTCATTTGAGTGTCTGACTTTTGCTTTTAGCTCAGGTCATGATCTCAGAGTTCATGAAATCAAGCCCCTTATCAGGCTCTGCGTTGACAGTATGGAGCCTGCTTGGGATTCTCTCTCTCCCCTTCCCCAACTCAAGTTCTCCCCATCCCCACTCTGTTTCTGTCTCTCTCTCTCTCAAAATAAATATTTTTTTAAAATTTTGTTTAACTTTATTAGTTACTATAAGTTTATCCATTACTATGACAATTATACAGATATAATTGGGTATTTTTTCTTTTCTTTACTATTTGACATACTTTTGACATACCAATGGAGCCCTTTCTTTACTTTTTCTGTACTATTTTTTACTTTTGACATACCTATGTCTTTATTTGTTTAATTTTGCAAAATACGTTTGCACCCAAAAGTATTTCTTTACTTTTGACATACCTGTGGAGCTCAGTGACCTTGATTTATCTTTCTAAAAAAAATTAAGTATAATAAGTAACTACAGAACTTGCTTTGTTGAACTGTTTTGAGATGGAGAGATCTGTACTTCCTGTGCTACTTCTGAGATGCAAAGAGAAAGAACCTTACTTACGCTGTTCTCTGCTCTCAGGTGCCCCAACCCGGTATCAACATCAGGCCACAGTTCTGGCCTGAAAAGTCTGGCCATGAATGAACCATCTCCTCGCACACTGGTGAGCTTTACCAGGTGTGAGCCAAAATCAAGCCATTGTTCACTCAGTAATAAACTGGGTGACTTAGGAACAGAAATTGAAAAAAATTTCTTAAAAGTGAGAAATAATCTTTCAGTTATCTTTAATGGACAGAAAGATTGTTAGGGTTTCTTTTTCTTGTGCTCAACATTAGTTTGGAGGCATAAGGCCCAACATTTTATCAATGTTCAAGTGCTCCATCTATCCCGTGGAGGCATATGAACAAAGAATTCTCACCTTCTTTAGAATAAGCAGGCTAGGTTAACCAAGAGCAAGGGGTAGGGGGCACACAAAAACCCCATCCTGGAAATTCTTTTGAGACTATATTTCAACAGATAGTTGAAAACACACTGTCTCAAAAATCTGATAATGGAATATTCATTCAATGCATTCATTATGTAACCTCCCTCTGTAACAAAGGACATCAAATTACCATCAGATCTTACCGTCCAGGCAACTCTATCATCAGATCTTTCTGTACAGGCAACTTGTAGTGCCTTTCTACTTTTGGGTCTGTGCAAATTCACCCATTACAGAGTGAGCACCAGTGGGACATTTCCAGAAGAGGGCAGAGAGATGCAGGTAGTAGTAGTAGTTATGATTTTATGTAATTCTGACACTTGGTTTCCCCAAATACCTCATCAATTAAGCTGGGGAGGAGGCAGAAACAGAAAATGTTCATGCTCACTAGACTGTGGTAGGCCCAGAAGGCATGACCCTCTGCTCACACATTCACAATAAAGATCCAGGACACTGGCCATGACAAGCACAGTGTTAATGTATGGACATTCTCAAGTGCAATACTTGTTTACTTCATTGTGAAGAAAACATGGATCATGGATTGTACATTTCAAAATTAAGTCATTTCTAGATTTTAAATTCATATTCATAGAAATTGAATGTTATTTATTAAATAACTTTTAATAAATGTTAATCTCAGGATTATTTACTAAATAATACTTCATGAATGTCATGCATTACATAATACTTATTAAAAATATAATAGAAATATGCCCTGAATAAATGTTATTAAATGATGATGTATTCAATTTTAAAATTAAGCTTCCAATTTCCAACGTGTTAAATATAAACAGTTAAGTCAATGCAAATGGAAAAAGAATAAAGAGGGTGTATTCTGGAGTTAACATTTGCAACAGTGAGGATAAGACATATATGTGTTCACTGTAAACCTAACATTTTCCACCGTGGTATGGGGAATGGGGAAGGGTGTTAGACAAGTTGCCTAGAAGTCTCCCAGGGGCACCTCCTCCCCTTTTCTGGGTTCTAGCTCTTTTTGTCACAGACCCACCTCCACGTTCTCTGGGCCAAGAGATATATAGTCCATGTTGAGCCCAGAAGAGAAAAAGCAAACCAGTAAACAGAGGAGAAGTTTGGTGGCTCTGCCTCAGAGCCCCTCCCCCCCATTCCTTCTGGGATTTCTCAAGATGGTTCTCTCTGGCTCAGAAGACATCGGCTAGCTCCCCGATGCTCCCGGACAGTCAGCACTGTGGGCCAGATGCTCCCAAGACAGCAATGTGACAAAATCTGGCCTTTTAAGCAAACTGAACCTGAGATGGTTTTAACACAATAGAGTAAAACAATGCCTTGATGGTGGGGTCAGGTTATTAAATGTATAATGCCTATTTTTTCTGCTACTTAGTTAACACTGAAGTAAGTGGGGAGGCCGAGACGAAAGGCATCAGAGGCGATCCAGTGCGGCTGGTGGGGACGCTCACGGATAAAGCACAGCCAGTGAAGTATGGTCCTGGGAAGAAATGCATGAGGTACAAACTAAGTCAGAACCTGAAGCTCCAAAATGCAAATTAAAACGGCTTATTCCCTAAGAGAAAGCAAGTCCCGAGGAAGAAAAAACAATTTGGGCAAATTGTGAAAATGGCCCCATGAATACAAAAGGGGGGTTCAATGAATAAATTACTGCAAAAGTAATTCTTTTAAGCACAAGGAATTTTTTAATATACTGCTCAACACCCCTACACACACACACACACACACACACACAGATGCTTTGCAATGGTAACCATCGATATCAGCAGAGATTTCTCTAAGTAGATGTTCTTTCTCCTTTAAGGGCCATATTGTCAAATTGACATGATTCCTTGCCCCAGGCGGAGATGCTGAGTCTGCAGCCAGTCCAGCCACTACCCCCACCCTGCTTTTTTCCCCTACTTGCATCTTCTTTCTGCTTCCACAGCTGGAGATCTCTCAGACCTGTGCCCTATTTGCTATTCTCTAGAATCTGTAATCTCAGGTGTTCCTTCTACTAACTTTTTCTATGGCCTTAAACTATAGTCACCATCTCCCTTTTTCAAAAAATTAATTTTTTTTCTTTATGTTTATTTATTTCTAGGAGACAGAGAGAGAGACAGCGTGAGCAGGGGAGGGTCAGAGAGAGAGGGAGTCACAGACTGAAATAGGCTCCAGGCTCTGAGCTGGCAGTCAGCACAGAGCCTGACACGGGGCTCGAACCCACGAACCGTGAGATCATGACCTAAGCGAAAGTCGGACGCTTAACCAACTAAGCCACCCAGGCACCCCTCAAAAAATTAATTTTTAATGCTTATTTATTTTTAAGAAAGAGAGAGAGGGCATGTGAGCAGGGAGAAGAGCAGAGAGAGAGGCAGACAGAGGCAGACAGAGGATCCAAAGCGCGCTCCACACTGACAGCAAAGAGTCCAATGCGGGGCTCAAACTCAGGAACCATCAGATCTTCACTTGAGCCACAGTGGGACACTGAACCGAATGAGCCACTCAGGTACCCCAGTCGCCCTCTCCCTTAACAAAAACACCTTCTAGTGCCCCTGCAACTCCCCTTTATTTTGCCTCACAAAAAGGCCCTCTAAATAATCATAGGCAAGCTGTCATCTCCACCATGATGCCCCCACGGTTTGCCACCCATGCTGGCCTCTGCCCCATCCCTGCTCTGAAAATGCTTTCACGAAGATCCCTGAAGTCCTCCTGAAGAGCCTAAGTAACGTCATTTTGAAATTAAGTCCTCCATTAAGAGCATGTAGCCCAGTTCCTCAGATTGCTCAAGGCTAAAGCCATCCTCGGACCGCCCTCAGATCAGCTAATCAAAAAAACATTCCTATGGTCTGAGTCAAGGCTGGGAACTGTAGACAGTTATTCTGCACAAACTAGCCAGTTTCTCACCACTTGCCTGAACCCCACGTGGGCCCTTTGAACTCACCCCATAATTGGTCATTTTCAAAGGATTTTCAAAAGTCATGATTGGGTCCCACCAAAAGTAATGAACACCTCACAGATACTGAATGGTCAAAGCTGTTACCATGGGTGCCGTATAATTGTAATTGGTGCTTATGTGATGATGGTATATGTACAACGTGTGCACTGTAACACCCCCGTCCCTTACCCCTTAAAAACCCTGCTCACTACTGTTCGGGGCTTCACCTTCTGCTGCTGCACTGGTAGGCAGGTGAGCCCCTGCTCAAGCTTGTAATAAAGACCCTTTTGTACTTGCATCGGTGCCGGCTCCTTGGTGGTCTCAGGGGACTCGTGAATCGGGCACAGCACTCTTTGTTGCCAAACGTGATTTCTTGTTTTCAACCCTCAGCGTCCGCCAAACTCTGACATGTGACCCTGTTGATCAGTCCGTGTCTTTAAAACTTTTTCCTCCTTTGGGTTTTGAGAATACACTCCTGATTCTGTTGCCTTGCTTACATTCCTGCTCAGATTTTTTTTTCTCTCGTTAAATCTTGGTGTTCCCTAGGGCTCCGCCTTCATCCCTGTCTATACCTGTGGCTCCAACTGTGGTATCCAGACTAGGAACATCCTTATCCCCAGTGGGCCTTGTTAGAAATGCCAGTTATGGGGGCGCCAGGATGGTTTGGTCGGTTGAACGTGGAACTCTTGATTCCAGCTCAGGTCATGACCTCAAGGTTCATGGGATTGAGCTCTGCTTCATTCTCTCTGCTGTAAGCACAGAGCCTGGTTGGGATCCTGTGCACACATGCTCTCTTTCTCACAAAAATAAACATAAAAAAAGAGGGGCACCTGGGTGTCTCAGTTAGTTAATCATCTGACTTCTCTGTTCAGGTCACTATCTTGTGACTCGTGAGTTCGAGCCCCTCGTTGGGCTCTGCGCTGACAACTCAGAGCCTGGAGCCTGCTTCAGATTCTGTGTCTCCCTCTCTCTGTGTCCCTTCCCCGCTTGCTCTCTCTCTCTCTCAAAAATAAATAAACATTAAAAAACTTTTAAAAAGAAATGCAAATTATGTTGCAAGATAGAATTAAAAATACCCAGTTCAGCTGGAATTTTGGCAATGAATGAATTTTATGATAAAAATAAAAAATATTTAGGGTGAGTATGTCCCATGTAATTTGGGGGCATACTTATCCTTTAAAAAATGTTGTTTCTCTGAAATTCAAATTTAATTAGACATCTTGCTTTTTTTTTAATTTGCTAAATCTTACAGTCCTAAATGCAAATTAGCAGTCTCTGTCAGAGTCCTATTTAATGAGGGAGCATGGGGCAGGCTGAGGGCCAAATACAAGCTAGCACCCCCTCCCCCACCCAGGTGGGATGTGTGTGATATTCCTCAGGCACTCCTGGCTGCCCAAGGACAAAGGAAAGGACAGAAAACAAATGGTTAAGCTGATAGAGTCTCCATCAGTGTACAAATATCAGTAAATTACAAGGAAAAGGCAATCTTATAAAACGCCTTATCTCCAGTAACCTGGTGATTAGTTGCCTGGAGTCCCCACATCACCCTCCATAGTGATGTGGGGAACAAAGGCGAGAAGGAAATGGCAGCTAAAATTACATTTCCTCATAACCTGCAGCCCATTGGCGAATACTTGAAGCAAATACAGAGCACAACATTTCTCCAGGAACCCCTACTGCCCTACTGTTAATGCCTGGCTAGAGGAAAAAATAACCTCATCTTGACAACAGCAAGGCCTCAGGTATCTTAGGAGACCTCTTTGGCATATCAAAGTCCCACTGGAGGCCTCCCTTTTGACTTTACCTTCCCCAACTTCATAGTATATGATGAGCCACAACCCCAGTGCAGCCCTTCCTGTCCACGGGTCCTGCCCCTGTGATTTAATAAAATCACCTGTTTGCACCAAAAATGTCTTCAAGAATTCTTTCTTGTCCATCAGCTCCAAACCCCCCGAGCCCCACCATCACTCCACAACCTCATCACTACTGAAAGTCTGGAGATGGGGCCTACAATCTGCATTTTAACAACTCTCTAGGTGAGTCTAATGTTCCCTAACGTTTAAGGAGCACGGCTCCACATCCCACCCGGCTGACCTCCTCTGTTCCCATGACAACACTTCCCCAAAGTGTGGGATGCTCCTAAACTGCTGTTGTGGGCTTTCCTGAACTTGATTTAACCATGTGACCTACCTCTGTGTGGAAAAGCAGGAGAAATGCAAGAATAAAGTGATCGAGTGCTTGGCTTTAGAGTAATGTCAACCCGTCTCCTTGTGAGAGCGAAAGATTTGGGAGTAGGCACAATGAGGGAGAATCTGGTTTTTTTGCAATTCCCTGCATAGAGCTATAAAAAAATTGTTTAAGCATGTTTGCGGCACCCACTCCCACCTTCTTACCTGTGTAAGGGAAGGTGACAGGGATCCCCATAAGCTTGGGGGTCTGAGCACAGAGGAGCCAGTGCCTCCGTCTGGAGTTCCTCTGAGCCACCATAGCTTTTGATTCTGTGGAAAGACTCGAACAGTGAATTAGGCTGCACAGTTGCCTGTTCTTCCCTCCAGAAGAGTCTTAAGGATTTAACTCTGAAATTGTGAAGGAAGAAGTAGCCTTTAACTGAAATAGCACTGTGGATCGCAGGATCCAACTGACTGAAAGCATTGCTCTCCTTCTACACACTACAGCACCCACTAGGTGCTGGGAACTGGGTCAGATGCTATACAGACTGCAACAGTTACAACTGTGGGCATTCCTGATCAAACAAGAAACATTGCAAGAGCTGGGTTCCAATTAACTTTACCAATAGTTGTGGTATAATTCTTGGTATGTTGCTGTTATATGGAAATAAAAATCTGAACAGTGAATGGAAGTTATTAAAAGGAGCAGCAGCAATGAAGCCTCACTTTAGAATGAAAACATCAAGAAGGACAACAGGGAAACCATGAAAGCAAGTGAGGCACATTCCATCAAATAATTAACTTTTGTAAACACTTGATGGCAAGAAAATGTCACAAGTCAGGACCATGCTCATTATTTGTTGAGTGTGTTGCTTATGTCACATGTGTGGATTTTCTAATTCTCTGAGAGATTTCAGCTTAAAACTCCCATTGGGTTGGATAGAAAATGAGTGACTTACTGGCTTCTCCCCCATGCAAGGGGCTGAGAAACCAATTTGCCACAGCAGGTGGCACTGTCTCCCTTGGGTTTCTCAGCTGGGGTCTCTTGGCCACTCAGAGCCTTCCCTAAGGAGCACAGGCGACAGGGACCCTTTGTCTTGCTGCCTCTCAAGTCCTCCCTGCCACTCCCCTCCAGTCACCGGCCTCTCCCTGAAGTTTCCCGCCACCAGCAATGCCCTTTCCTCTTTGCTCTCCCTGGAAAATCTCTATTCATCCTTTTCCATATGGCCTTCATGAAATGTCACCCCTGCCCCCAAGACACCCACTTCAGGCCTCCAAGCAGAATCTGTAACACCCGCATCAGTGGGACCTCAGTGCTCCATCGATGCCTTCTGTTGCACAGCAGTAATGCTCTATATTTGCTCATGTATTTCTTCAACAAATAGTTATCGATCAGCTGCTCTGGATCAGACACTGTGTCCAGCCTGGAAACAGAAAGATGTGTGGTGCGTGGGGTCTGCTGTCACAAAGCTGGCCAGCCGGAGAGAGGACAGAAACGTGATTCCAGGATGATACACTA